GAGGCTGAGGCGGGTGGATCACCTGAGTTAGTAGTTCGAGACCAGCCTGACCAACATTGTGAAACCCCACCTTTACTAAAAATACAAAATGAGCCAGGCGTGGTGGCAGGAGCCTGTAATCTCAACTACTCGGGAGGCTGAGCCAGGAGAATCACTTGAACCCTGGAGACAGAGGTTGCCATGAGCCAAGATCACACGACTGCACTCCAGCCTGGGTGACAGAGCGAGACTCTGTCTCAAAAATAAATAAATAAAATAAATAAATAAAAATAAAAACACCACTCCATTGTCTTCCTGCATCCTGTGTTAATCTGATTCTTGTTTCTTTGAATGTGATCTGCTCTTTCTTTCTGGAAGCTTTGTATGTATTTTCATTGTCTTTTTAATATTCTTGATCTTTACTACAATGTATCTAATTTATGATGTTCTTCATCTGTATAATGTATCATAATACCTCACAGAATGTGAGGATTAAAACAATCAGTATAAAAGACATAAACAATGACCACCAGATAATAAGCACCAAATAAGCATCAGCTGTGTTATATTATCATTCTATTCAGCTTTATGGATTTTTTGAGCCATTTTTATTACCTCTGCCTTTGCCCGGTCTTTGACCTTTCGTTGCTCAGTAACACTCTAATGTAGGTGAATGAAAGAAATCGTGTAAAATGTGAAACCAGTAGTTAGCAATTCTGGTATAAAGATAATTTACATTTTTGGCTAAAACGAAGTTTGTGTACGAAATGACTGATTTATGCATGCTACTCTTATTCATATAGCCATACTATAATAAAGTTGCATGATAATCCTATTTTAATTTTTTATTTAAGGGAACATTATATTTTCAGTGAATTTATAATAATGCTTATTTCCCAGCCAATAATTATTTTTATAATTTTTAAGTCTCTGTCTAATTCCAATATCTGGCCAACTATGAATCTGTTTTTGTTGATGGTTTTTTCTCTTGATTTTAGATAGTATACCATCTGTTGTGGATGAGGCATTGTAGACATTCTAGATTCTGTTATTTTCTTTTGGGCAGTTAACACTGGTCTTGTAGAGGCTTGGTTATAGGACTAGGCTCTTTTGGCCTTGATCTTAGTTCTAAGGTGCGGTTCGTATTCCCTCTGGGGTGTCCATGGAATGCCTCAGATGTGATCAAGCCCTGTAATTTGGCAGGACCTGATCTCCTCTGTCTTCACAGTGGCAAGCAGATGTTAAAATCTCTCCTCTGCGTTTTCAACCTTCCTGCTGTCCTCCACGGGGATCCTGGGAATATTATCCTGTGTGTGTGCCCTTCAGGAGCCAGCCTCCGACTTGGGGAAGGTTTACATGCGGGTTTTGGTTCCCTTCTTCCTAGGGCTTTTGCCTGCAATATCCTGGCAGCCTTGAACGTGGTCTCAGCCCAGTAAGGCTGCTGCCTTTCAGTTGCATGCTATCCCCCACGTGACGTGTGAGTGAGGAGCACCCCTGGGAAAAGCCAGATGAAGGTGATTCATCCAGAGTTATTCTCGTTTTCTAGGGGTCACGGCCCTTCCAGTTCCTGCCTGCATTTGTTTGTTGTTCAGAGTCTTCAAATGGCTTTTGAATATTTTGTCCAGAGCTTATCATTATTGGCAAAAGGATTAGTCTGATATAAGTGATTCTGTCATTACTGGACTCCAGAAATCCCAGTCAATAAGTACATTATGGATAAAAAGACAAAGCATGGTTCGCATAGGACTCAGATTTGAAAATGCATTTCCTGTAGATCATTTTTATCCACAGAGAAATTCTAGTTTGCCTGGGAGCACCGTAGGAGCTGCATGTATTTGCGCTGGTGCAGAGGTGTCTGGGCACAGCCGAGGAGAGCATCTGCAAGTGAAGCCAGCAGAGGAGACCACTCAGAGTGGCACTGACTGGCTCGGGGAAGCATCGGGGCCACACAGGACACTTGACGCCGTGGGAAAGGGCTGCTCTCTAGCTTCAGGCAAACGCGGGCCTCACTTTTATTTTCTCAGCTCTTTGAACAATAAAACACTGACTACTGCAGCCACCACCAAGAATATAACTTCCTCTCTGCGGGCTGAGCCAGGTATCACTTCCTGAGAGAGTGAGCGTGGCTGGCAGCCGTGCTTGGGGTCCAGGACGGCCAGCTCAGCCTCCCCTCGCCCTGCAGGGCTGCAGAAGTGAGACCATCTTCACACCCCAGCTCGTTGTCATCCTCGTTCTGGATCTCTCAGTTCCTCTCCCATTTCCTATCCCACTGCTATGGGTGCCCTCCTGGGTCCGCCATTCCCCATAGAGGAGTCACTTCCACGTCTCCCCCGAAAGTGCCTGACCCTTGTACTGCGCCCTCCCCTGGGCTACTGTCCTTCTCCAGGCTTCTTCCATTGCTCACTTCCAGCCAGCAGTCCGCGAGTGTGTTTTGCAAATGTGGTGCTTGCTCTGCACCTGCCATTATGTTTTTAAGGTGTATTATTTGTTCTTAATTTTAAAAGTAGGTGAATTAAACATTTTGTATTTCTCCTACTAAAAATACTGCATTGGCTTTTTACTCTGCGGCCTTGGTTCTGCCCCACTGTATGCCAGTAGCCTGGGTGGGAGGAGAAATGCTTTCCCTACCTCCTGTTGGTGCCACATTAGAGAAAGCCTGTCCGGCTCCACACGCACTCCTAAGGATGGACTTGCCTCAGACATGAAGCCAGCTATGACCTGTAGGATTTTATGATTATGAACGTGACATAATTGCATTTGCATTTCTTTTGTGTGCCTTAAGGCTACTCATTTATTCTACTCCAGCAGGCTCCCCAGCTCACTTCCTTAAGAAAGAAAGAAGTGGCAAGTCCAGTCCACTCCGGTGTCTCGTTTGGAGACTGAGCTTTATTAAGCATCTCGGCGCTCCTCTCCAGGGACTGGGCTTCGTGTGGCTGCAAATGGCTCCTCTCCTTTCTCCTGACAACTCACTGTGGCAGCTCTGTAGTCTCGCGCCTTGACAGGATGGCAATGACATTTTCTTTACAAATCTAAAACTGCCGAATTAAGGAAATCCGAGTGTACTTGTTCACCAGGGCAGTCCCTGTCCCCACCTTTAACTCTCCTTTTCCTGCAGGTCTGTTGAATTTCCTGGGTGACTGTTCCGTTCGTGGCATTCACTCACGTTCTCTTCTTTCTCTGCAGGTTTTGCATGCAGAAATGTGTCAGTCTGGTGCCTGGCGTCACACTGGATTTGATAGAAAAGTAAGTAGGATTTTTAAGCTCTTGTGGCTCTCTGGAGCTGATGAGTTTCTTTTCCTTTTTGAAGGCTCTTGCTTCTCAGAAGTACTTTCTATCAGCGTGGCATGTTCCCTTTCATGTGGCTATGTTCTTTTGTTCTCTGATTAAGGCTGTCACCCTGGGGCTTAGTGCAGGAGATAACCAAACATGGGCCATATGAAAAGAAAAACAATAAAAAGCTGGATTCCTTTGAACATTTAAAAAATCTCCAGACTTTAAGCCAATACAAGAACATACCACTTCGCATACAGATCATTGCTGCTGCCACTGAAACGGCAGCTAGATCATAGCTAGCTCTTACCTTATTTTCTGAAACTGTCGCTTTAATATTCTATAACTTTCCATCCCCTACCCACCTGTCTCCATCCAATTTCCATTTTACTATCTCAGGGCAAACTGATTTCAGAACCTCAGCGATGAAGTGATGGGGTTTAGTCAGGCCTCCCATGAAGAGTCAGTGGCACTTGCCTCCTGTAATCCTTCCGGTCCCATTGGCCGACCTGTCTGTCCCTCGCTGTGATCTCTTTGGATCTGAAGTGGCGTCTCAGGACCCGGAGCGTGGCCTGCACTGCCTTGTTCTGTTTGTTTGTGCGTCGGATTCATCGTGACTCATCCTGAGTCATCCAGGCAGCATGGAAGAACTTTGGAGTTATTTTAAACCCTTTGGCTTGGAACCCCATTTCTTCTAGAATTAACATGCAAGATAATTGTTTTCTACATCTTATTATACAAAGTTGTATCTTAATATTAGGACCTGAATTTACTAAATTAGGCAGGAAAAACAAACCCACTTCCAAGTTTCTCTTGTGAAAACATACTTGCCTTGTGTATCGGGGAAAAATACAAAATATTATGTGTCAGCGTTCACGAGGGCACGGTGAGCTCCATCGTGGTTCACTCCCGCCGTGGAACATGGCCGTGTGGCCAGTAGGAAGGCCGGGGAAGCTGCGCTGGTCCTGATGTAGAGTGGTCTATCAGATGTGCTAAGTGAGCACTCCCCAGCATGGGTACCTGACAGATCATAGTGCCCAGAGGCTTTCCAAGCAGTGCAAGCTGTGACTGAAAAGACTGTTTCAGATAGTGGAGTCTCTGAGAAGCATCACATGGAAAATAACTTAAAAAAAAAAATCGGGACTAAATGATCTGTGCTCCCCTCCCCTTCTGTTTGGTTTGGTTCCCTGATGAGATTTCATGAGATGTGTTAACTGGTCATTGCTGTGCGCTTTCTTTGGGGCTTTTATTTCCCCCTCTGTTGTCTGAGTTTCAGAACTCTCTATTCCCTGTAACGTATAGATTGCCCCCACCACTCCTGCCTCTCCCCACACACGTACCAGATGCGTATCCCAAATCTAAAATTCCAAAATCAAAAATACTCCAAACTTTTAAAAAAAGTTTTAAATGAATTTTAAAAAGAAATAGACATGGGCATCTTGCTGTATTTGGCCAGGCTGGTCTTGAACACCTGGCCTCAAGTGATCCTCCCACCTCCACTTCTCAAAGCACCAGGATTACAGGTATGAGTGATTCTGGCTGTGCCAGGCCAAAATCGGGAACTTTATGAGCACTGACATGCTACTCAAAGACAATGCTCTTTGGAGCATTTTGGACTTTGTGTTTTCGGATTAGTGATAAATCCAAAAAACTTAACTGGTAAGTATAATGCAGATATTCCAAAATCTGAAAAAATTCAAAATCCGAAACACTTCTGGTTCCAAGCATTTCAGATAAAGGGACACTTCACCTGTGTATATATATTATATATCTAATTTATTAAATAAACCATATCCATTAATATTTCAGCAGTTATATTTTATCCTCGCTGGGCTGGCTTATTTAGGCAGCTCTTGGGTGAAAACTGTCTTGGCGTTTTCCATTTGTTGTGCCTCCCTGTGGCTATTTCCGTGGTTTCCTCTGGAGGTGGGAGGGCCGCAGTATCCTTTCTCCTCTGCCTGGTAGCAGGAGCCCGAGCCTTGCCCACACCTCCGTCTCCGTGTGGGTCAGTGTCTTGTCTCCGTCCTGGACGGCTGCTGTGTGCTGTTCTGTCCACCCTGGGCACCTGTGCCTGTGGCTACTCCAGACAGGGCCCTGCCAGCGCATGTTGAGCCACGTGAGCTCAGGCAGCACCACGTGTTCCACGTCTCCCGCGCAGAAAGGGCTGTTAAAAATCACCTAGTGATTACGACAAAAAATTGTTTTAAGTTATTGAGTCAAACCCCTTATTTTACTGAAAGAGAACCTGGTATTTGGTCCACTTCAGCTCCTGGGTGACCTTTTCTGCCTGGTTCGGGCAGGGCTGGCCTAGAGCTCAGGTCTCGGGACGGCCCCGCCGGGGTCTGCCCAACGCAGGGAGGTTTCCTGGAGCTCAGGTCTCAGGACGGCCCCACCGGGGTCTGCCCAGCGCAGGGAGGTTCCCTAGAGCTCAGGTCTCGGGACGGTCCCACCGGGGTCTGCCCAACGCAGGGAGGTTTCCTGGAGCTCAGGTCTCGGGACGGCCCCACCGGGGTCTGCCCGACGCAGGGAGGTTTCCTGGAGCTCAGGTCTCGGGACGGCCCCGCCGGGGTCTGCCCAACGCAGGGAGGTTTCCTGGAGCTCAGGTCTCGGGACGGCCCCGCCGGGGTCTGCCCAACGCAGGGAGGTTTCCTGGAGCTCAGGTCTCGGGACGGCCCCGCCAGGGTCTGCCCAACGCAGGGAGGTTCCCCTCGAACAAGACTTTGGTGTCGGAACAACCAGCTGCCTCCCGTTTCTTTCCAAAACTTAAAATGTGCAGCATGACATCCTCAGCGTGACTCACAAAAGAAAAAAAATTGGTAAATTGGACTTCATCCAAATGTAAGATGTTTACTCTCTGAAAGACACTGCTAATATGAAAAGACAAGCTATAGACTTGGAGACAATATTTGGGAGTCACATATCTGACAAAGAACACTTGTATCCAGAATGTATAAAGATATCTCAGAACTCAAAAATAAGGGGGAAAAAGCAATTAGAAAACAGACAAAAGACATGAAGAGACACTTCGCCAAAGAGGATTTAGGGATGGCAAATATGCATTAAAACCCAGTGAGACAGCACCGTGTGTCCCTGTTAGAATGGATGACATTTAAAAGGCTGACCAATCCCGTGTTGAGAACTCACATCGCAGCTGCTGGGAATGCAGAATGGTGCGGCCACTCTGGAAGTACTGTCAGCTTCTCATCAATGTCCACACACCTGCCAACGTGTCCCCGCATTCCCACTCCTGGATCTGTACCTGGAAGAGTGAAATCTTAGGATCACACAAAACCCTGTGCGTGAACGTTTGTGGTAGCTCTGTTCATTCCCCCAAGCCGGAAGCAACCCAAATGTCCCTTGCAGGGCAAATGGATCCAGACTGTGGTGCATCTGTATGGTGGAATTCTGCTCAACAGGAAAAAGGGACAGGCTTTCTGTATCCACCGCCATTCGGGTGGTTCCCAGAAGTATCACACTAAGTGTCAGAAGCCCGTCTCCAAGGGTGGCACACGGTTCGATTCCCTTTCCGTGACCTTCTGGGAAAGACAGAACGTGGGCCAGAGAACAGATCAGCTGTCGCCAGGGATTAGAGGGGTGGACAGTGTGGCTGTGGGGCTAGCGGGAGGGGCCTGCGTGGGGCCTTGATGCTGGTGTGGTTCCACAGATCCACCCATGCGTTCCAGTCCATAGCATGTGCACCTGCAGAAGTCATTTTGCTGTTTGACAACTGAAGTAAAAGTAATACATAATGTAGGGGAGGAAAAAAAACCTCACGAGAGCGAGTAGGCCGGAGAGTGCAGACCAGAGGCAGCACAGGGCTGGCCGCCACTACGAACAACAAGCCACGGGCCTGGGGAACGAGGGGTGCAGGGAAACGGAGACGTGGATTTGGGAGAGGATGTGAACTCTACAGCAGCGTGCTCTGTTGTTTCTGGGAAGATTCCTTCAATCTTATTATTAAAATAGGATTCAGTGAGGATTGAAAAAGAAGCAAACACCCTCCCCCATCCACCGTGGATGTTAGTCATTTTCATCAGACGCCCTTTCCCTAAATCATGACGTTAGCGTTTGCAGCCGCTCGTGTTCTTCCCAGAGCCAGTGCGTCCCCTCCCTCCCCAGCACGAAAGGCCCTTCTCAGCCAGTGCAATCGTGACTGCTGGAGGTTAGGGCAGTGTCCTCGTCTTTCTCACTTCTCCCCTTCTCCTGTGCCAAGTGATGCTATGAAGGTGGCTAATTGCTAAAGGTTTATTGTATTTTTAAATTTAAAGAGACAATGAACTGTTAATAGTAGGCAGTTTTCAAAACACACCCTGCTTAGGGATTCAGGGTGTGAGGAGGAGAGTGTGCTGGGAAAAATATGGACGTTGGAGTCAGAGCAGCCCCATCCTTCCCTCCTGACCCTTCTGAGCCACACTCACTGGGCACCTCCTTGCTCTGGGTCTGTCTCTGTCCTGCAGAAGGGACACCACTCGGGTCTCACTGGGCAGCAGCAGTGCCGAGGGCATCACACGTCCTGACACGGCCTCGGCTCTCAGCCCATGTCCACCTCCCGCCAGACACTTCTGCCTTCTCAGCACTTCCCAGAGCTGCAGCTTGGATGGTGGCTGCTGTCACTCCACATTCCTGTAGTTCTGTAAGTGCCTCCCACGCCTCTCCATCTGCCATCAGCTGAGGCACCGACTACTCCCAGGCATCATTGCCCTGGTCCCACTGCAGTTAGAGAGAGATGGCAAGGCGCCGGAGAGGCCGTGCTCTCGAGGCCCATCGCTGAGATGAATTGGCTTAGCGGGCTGTTTTCGGCCATTCTCACACTGCTATAAAGATACTACCTGAGACTGGGTGTATTAGGGTTCTCTAGAGAGACGGAACGAATAGGATAGATATAAATGTGAAGGGGAGTTTATTGATTAATATTAACTCAGACAGTCACAAGATCCCACAGTAGGTCGTCTGCAAGCTGCAGAGCGAGGAAGCCAGTCCGACTCCCAAAGCTGCAGAGCTTGGAGACCTCAGTATTAACCATCACACTGGGCAGTTTATCAATACCAGAGGTTTAATTGACTCACAGTTCTGCATGGCTAGGGAGGCCTCAGGAAACTTACAATCATGGGGGAAGGGGAAGCAAGGCACATCTTACATGGCAGGAGAGTGAGAGCACGCCAGGGAAGGAGAAGTGTCACACTTTTAAGCCAGCGGATCTCGTGAGAACTATCACGAGAACAACCACTCCCATAATCCAGTCACCTCCCACCAGGTCCCCGCCTCGACACGTGGAGATTGCAATTCAAGATGAGATTTGGGTAGGGACACAGAGCCAAACCAGATCACAGTCACTGTGGGTACCTCAGTCTTTACTGAGAATAACTTCTGAAAGTGTGTGGATTTGGGTCTGAGCCGCTGTTCTCTCAAAGCAGTTCAGCAAAAGCACCTGTTTTGGTCGGGCGCGGTGGCTCAAGCCTGTAATCCCAGCACTTTGGGAGGCCGAGACGGGCGGATCACGAGGTCAGCAGATCGAGACCATCCTGGCTAACCCGGTGAAACCCCGTCTCTACTAAAAAATACAAAAAACTAGCCGGGCGAGGTGGCGGGCGCCTGTAGTCCCAGCTACTCCGGAGGCTGAGGCAGGAGAATGGAGTAAACCCGGGAGGCAGAGCTTGCAGTGAGCTGAGATCCAGCCACTGCACTCCAGCCTGGGCGACAGTGCCAGACTCTGTCTCAAAAAAAAAAAAAAAAACCACCTGTTTTAGTGTCTTCCACTTGGAACCCACGTCACACTCGCAGGGTGAACTCCCGCGGTACCTCCCCTCATAGTGTGACAGAGGTTACATTGAATGCGAGTGGCTGAATTATGTTTATATTTTTTATGCCACGACAAATTCCTAACTGTAGAATTATACAGCACTGGAGAAATCCAGATCTTTGCTCCAAAAGCTGCCCAGCCACAGCTGCCACTAGCTCTATTTCCAAGTGGACGTCAGTTTTTAACTTGCGCAGACAGAGTGACTTCTCCACTTAAAACACTATTTTTACGTTCTTTTAATTTTTAGATTTTGTTCCTCAATTATGTTTAGTCTCATAAGAAAGGTTTTTTGTTTGGTTGTGTGTGGTTTTTTTCTTGTTGTTGTTGTTTTCCAGACAGGGTTTCGCTCTGCTGCCCAGGCTAGAATGCAGTGACGCCATCTCAGCTCACTGTAGCCTCAACCTCCTGAGCTCAAGTGATCCTCCCACCTCAGCCACCCAAGTAACTGGAACTGCAGGTGCATGCCATCATGCCTCGCTAATTTTTATTTTCTGTTGTTTGGTTTTTATTGTAGAGCCAGAGTTTCCCTATGTTACCCAGGCTGGTCTTGAACTCCTGACCTCAGATGATCCGCCTGCCTTGGCCTCCCAAAGTGCTGGGATTACAGGCATGAGCCACTGCGCCCGGCTGTGTCTTTTGCATATTGTATTATCTACAAAGGACATGAGTTACTTTTTAAATAAGTGATCTTTTTAATCAAATGATCTTCCTGCCTTGGTTTCCCAAAGTGCTTGGATTATAGGCATGAGCCACCACGCCCAGCCAAAGAAAAGTTTTTAAGAAGTAGATTTGATTTTGCAGTTACAAAGGCAGAAAATTCAGCACATCTATGTTTAATAGTGTCTTTCATGCTGCTGTGTTTTTTATATTCAGAGGACACTCCTAAAAAAAAAAAAAAAAAAGACCGGGCGCAGTGGCTTAAGCCTGTAATCCCAGCACTTTGGGAGGCCGAGACGGGCGGATCACAAGGTCAGGAGATCAAGACCATCCTGGCTAACCCGGTGAAACCCCGTCTCTACTAAAAAATACAAAACACTAGCCGGGCGAGGTGGCAGGCGCCTGTAGTCCCAGTTACTCGGGAGGCTGAGGCAGGAGAATGGCGTAAACCCGGGAGGCGGAGCTTGCAGTGAGCTGAGATCCGGCCACTGCACTCCAGCCTGGGCGACAGAGCGAGACTCCGTCTCAAAAATAAGTAAATAAATAAAAAATAAAAAGCCTCATTATTTTTATACTTTATCATTTTCCAAAGATTTCTTCTCGAAATATGTTGATCTTGGTTACAGTGACCTCTTTGGCTCAGACCCTCTTGGCCAGCCCTTCTACTACTTCAGGGCCCCTTCTTTTTTCCACGGGGGGTCCCATCAGCATATGTCAACTCACGTAATGCTAGCCCTCGTGTCAGGGGAGACAGATCCACTCAGAAAGCAGCCGTGCGGTACAGTTCAGAGACAAACAGATCATCATCAAGCTCTGCTGATGAATGTGACCCCTGTGTTCCAGGCAGCCAAGACTGAGTTCCCCCTTGTTTCCCTTCGCTGAGCACGCCAGCCATGTTTGCGATGTCCTTGTGTGTCCCCTGTCCTGAGTGTGACGCTGGGTCCAGGGTGCTTGAGGATGAGCCCCCAGCACATTCTAGGCTGTGCCTGTCACCAGTGTGCCCCGGGCGAGGGAGTCACCTCTCTGACATGGAAGCCCAGAGGCTGTGTTCTGGAAGTAGATGCTGTAACCACCTTCGTCCTTACAGGGCTGGAAATGTGGCAGCGTCCACTATCTGTGGAATGTCCTCTGGAGCCTCCTTGCCCGTGCCACAGGGAAGGACACCATGGATAGGGCTCCCATGCGTCACAGCATGTGGCCAGCAGGGCCACGCCACCTCCCAGGGAGGCATCTGACATGCACAAAACCTTTTGAGTTTTTGTATGTTTTTTTCAACACTTTCCTAAAATGCAGTGGTCAGAAGTTAGTTGCCTGCTCCTGCTTGGGGGACCAGTCCCTCAGGGGGTTTGGGAATTGTTCCTCCCAGACTCTGGGGCTGACATGTGGAGAGTGACCGCCTGACCCCTGCTCCAGAGTCAGCAGTTCGGTGCTCCTCTGAGGCCACTCCTCCCATCACAGGTGGGAGCAGGAGCGGTGTGGTCTCGGAAGCCGCACCCTATGATGTGCATTCACCTGAGTGACCTTCCTGGACTCAGGACTGCGCCAAGCAAGGCTGAGGCACTGCCTCCCTCAGGCAGCATGTGTGTCCACAAACTTCATAAGTAGCCAAGGAATATTTCAAAATATATACATTTTTGAATAGTTGAGAGATTTTAATACAAACATTTGCATAATATTGGCAGAGCTGTCAGTGGGTGCCAGGTGAGAGCCACACGGTTGTCTGGGTGACACCCCCATGTCCCCGCACACCATGACTGCCCTCCTGTCCACCTTGAGACGGAGCTCCGGGTTCCTTGAGTCACACCTATGTTAAAACGTACGCAGTCGTCCATCACTTTCACGTCTGTGCCGGCGAGACCTCCCTGGGGAAGCGTTTGCATTTGCTGCCCTTTTCGCCAAGACCCTCCCAGGAGAGAGATGACCTTTGAACCTAGAGCCAGAGAACTTGCATGGGCGTCCCTGCCTTCCCTACATGAACTGATCTTGGATCCAGGTTGATGGTGGGATAACCTGTTTTTAATTATAGTTTTAAGACCAGGCAGAAACAGGCTCTCGTGCTTGGTCTGATTTCATTTATGTTTTAGCAGTTCATTATTGTAAACAGAATCCTAAGGACTGTAGACCGGGGGGGTGGAAAACCCACAACAACACAGCACCTAGAACGCACCTGTGTGACATGTCGAGCGACACTCATTCGGAACAGATTGTGTGGATGTGCAGATGCCAGGGAGCCTGCAGTACCTGTGCGTACACTAGCTGGGGTTGGACTTGATTTACTCTTAGCTTTTGCCAGCTTTTTAGGGATTCCGAAGAACTAGTTTTGCAGTTTTGTTCTTTTGTCTTAACTCATGACATAGAAATTTCTTGCCCTCGAGAATACCTCTGTTGCCACTAAGCGTGAGGATGACGTTGGTTCCTGGGTCCCACCTGACTAGCGTGACAAGTCACGTGATGCAAGGAGACTAACGGGCCTGTGTTCTTGGGCTTCTTGTTTCCATCAAGCTTCATGACCTGCAGGAAGTAAAACCAGGTCTGCCTCATGCTCTGCACACCCCTTCGCTCCCCAGTGGCCTCTCTGCACACTCCTTCCCTCCCTGGCGGCTGCCCTGCGCACCCCCTCCCTAACCGGTGGCTGCTCTGCACACCCCTTCCCTCCCCGGCGGCCACCCTGCACACCCCTTCCCTCCCGGGGCCACCCTGCACACCCCTTCCCTCCCCGGCGGCCGCCCTGCACACCCCTTCCCTCCCCGGCGGCCTCTCTGCACACCCCTTCCCTCCCCGGCGGCCACCCTGCACACCCCTTCCCTCCCCGGCGGCCACCCTGCACACCCCTTCCCTCCCCGGCGGCCTCTCTGCACACCCCTTCCCTCCCCGGCGGCCTCTCTGCACACCCCTTCCCTCCCCGGCGGCCCTCGTTGGGAGCGTGTGAAGGATGGTCCTGAGTGCAAGCTGTAGATGCCAGGTGGTGATCAGCACGCACGTGTCAGATGGGCAGGTGTGTTTGGCACACAGAGACCTGCACGGCAGGCACCTGCCCCGTGCCCATGTATCCTTGCCTGCTGCCATCTGAGAGGATGTACCCTCGTCCTACAACACCTGGCCCTTGGTGTGCCAGGTCTGCGAGGCCAGAGCTCTCT